TATATATACAACAAAAAATATAAATAAATATATGGATATGCAACTATATGTATATAGACAGATAAAAAATAAGTGATATTGATATTGCGAGAAGAATAAATTAATTAATAAATAATAAATTGTTAGAGGGGGGTGTCTGACTCTCTGAGGGAGGCGTTATAGAGATTGTTGACCATATGTATATATATATATATATATGTATATGTATGTATAAATATATATATATGTATGTATGGGTTGTTTTAAACGAATAGATTAAAAAATGGAACCCGTCACACCATTCACAGCCCAAAAAACGGGTGAGAAAGTCTTTAACGTTTTCAAAATCCTGTATTAAAACCAACTTAATTTAAACATTCATTCATAACTGAAGCTCCTCCTTAGATTCCTCAAATCCTCTCTGATGTCTTTCAGTGCTTTTTGTTTACGTCCTTATATTAGTTTAAGAGCCAGTATCCTCACAAATAGAAGCAACTAAATGGGATTTTTATTCTATTTTTTGTTATTGTGGGAACTATTGTCAAAAGCAAACACATCAAACAAAAATTCTTTATTCACCACGCTGGTTTATGAAATTGAATGGGATCCACTGACATAAGAGAGAAACACACTCAAAGTTTAAATGGGTCAGGAGGGAGAAACTTTTTATTTAGCTGAAAAAGATTAAGCATTTCTTCTACGGTTTTGGCACAATCACAGATAAGTTTCTGATTTTCTCTCTTTTTCGTCTCACTTTGCTCACCCACTCAGTTTAACCTGAATTAAACCCAACATTTCCTGTCCCTGGATAAATTATATATAAAAAAATATGAGGATTTTTGTCAATCCTTTATCAAATGGGGAAATCTTTGTAATGGGATTTTCCCTCAACTTGTCTCAGACAGTCTTAGTTTTCTTTTTAAAACTCTAATTTCACCACTTTGCACACAATTTTAATAAATAAACACATCAGCATATTCTTCATATCCCTTCTGGCATTCTTTATTTTTTTCCTAAGAGTTTTGTTTTAGTAATAATCTTAATGATATCTGGTAAACACACATAAACATGAAAATAAACCTAAAAATTTTTGATCACCTCATAAGGATTTCTTCCTTTGATTAGACAGAACTCAGCACTCTGTTTTAACAGATGAAATAAATAAAAATTACACTAGAGAATTAAATTCATAAGACTTTTAACATGACGCATTAGCCGGGCACGTAAGACTTTTACTTTGAAAATCTCACCGATTGTTTAACCAGTTTAAAGCTCTGATTGCATTGCTGTTTATCTCTGTTTTATAACGCCCTACAAATCCAGCTTTTACCAAAACAGTGCAAACTAATAAGTCATGTAATGATAATAAGTAATACAGAGGGATATCAGCTCTTTTTAAAACTCAATTTTCATTATATATGGACTCAGTTAATTTCAGATGCTCGGTTATGACTTCCTACCAGCTTAGACTTATTCCATATTTTGTCATCCAAGACTTAGATTCAGATTTTTTATATAAATGTTTAGATAAAACAGATAAAATGTTCCTTTTATCTGTTGAATACCTAATTTTTAAGATCTTGTTTGCATTGAAACCAATACAAATTAATTTCTGTTACTGTTTATATGTGAAAATGATTAGTTATTAGTTTAGTTTGTTATTAGTTTAGTAGAATTATATCAAGAACTTTTTTTGTTGATCACACTTTAAATACTTTTTATCGCCCTCATGCCACCCATTTAAACGGTTAATCTTGAACCATTTTCTGTTTTCTGAGGTTCAATAACTTCAGTAAAAACTTTTGTTTTAACCTAAAATATTTTAATGAATATTATAGTAAATAAAACCTTGTTATTAAAAGTTTTGTTTTTTACTCAGTATGAAAACGTCTGCTGACGATTGGAAGATCTTGGATCAAGTTGAATTCCCATCCGCAGTTAAAAAGGTCTAAATGTAAGTTTAAATATTTATTTTCAAGATATCTGTTAAAAAAAAACATTTTTGAACCTAATTTGAGCATCTGTTTATAGTTTGCCACAGATGTTTGTCCATTCATTTGCTTCTTTAAAAAAAAGAAAAAAAGGAAAGTAAAGTAAAGACAAAACATAAACCAGTACAAATAAATAATACAGAATGTTTAAGGTAAAACTCGACTTGATTATAGAGAAGTTAAACACGACCAAAAACGTTACCAATGATCCGGAAAATGTTAAAAAAGTAAAAAAGGCTGTGTGTGTAAACAGAGGATAGAGATGAAAGAACAGAGAACAGGTGTCTGATAAACAGATAAACACCAGAACGAGACACAGGAAATAAATAACCTGAATCCCCAACGGAAAAACCAAATCAAAAGGAAATAAAGCAAACACGAAAAACTTTACATAAAACACAAAAAAACAAATAACAAAAAAAGAAAGTTCAAAGTGATCAACACACCAGAAAAAGAAAAACATCAAACGCCACCACCTGTGAAGCTGCATTAAAACCCACTCGTTTGATTTTTAACAAGCTTTTTCTTTTTTTATCTTTTATACCTGACCTCCGTTTGCAGATTCAAACATCCTAAAGTTGGATTTAAAAAGTACGAGAGTTTTAGTTTGACCCCTGACTGTCACCCCCCCGAGACGACTCCAGGAGGAAGACAAAGGAAGATGAGGAGTAAACAGATTATTCTCCTCTTTGAAGATGAGAGGAGGCTCCATCTTTCATGTTTCCCCACAGACGTCAGTTTCTATCAAAGACACTTTTACTTAAGATTTAAAACTGAAACAGCATCGTTTCAAACTTGGTGTCGACCTGAGAGAGAAGTTAGCAAAGTAAACGCAAATGAAACCTTTTTATTTATTTGATTTAAATCACTTAATGACATCATGATGACATATTTGAAGTCTAACATATCCAATTTTACAATTAAAAATTAAAACTTGGTGTTGACGTGAGAGAGATGCTAGCAAACTCAAATACGGGAAATTAAATCTTTTTATTTATTTGATTTAAATCACTGATTGACATCATGATGACATATTTGAACTCTTACATATCCAATTTTACAATTAAAAATTAAAACTTGGTGTTGACGTAA